TGGCTAAAAATGCCCATACCATACCTAAAAGAAAGTTTTATACTAGGAAATAAAGCAGTTCGCTTTTCATCTCCAGGAACTGCTAAAAGTCTTGTTTCAGTTTAAAAAGGAACACTATATAAACCACTTAAGTGATTTTACCTACAGGAAACCAAACATAAGTCCCTGAACAGCAAACCAATTTACCCTGAAACGATGTTGTAGTTGAGAGCAGGATGGTCTTTCGAGACAGGAGGGACAAGAGGTTCTGGCTGCTACTCTTCAATCAGTTCTTCCTTTTCCTACAGGAGGAAACACAGCGCAGGGCTAGTTACTGGACAGCAGCTCCAGCAGTACCCAAACTGTTTGTTGTAATGCAGCCGTCATAATGAACACCTTACTAGAAACAGAGGTCTAGCTGTTGTGGCTGGAAATGACACAGAATTACTACTGAGTTTTGCACACTTAACTCTTCACCTCTTTCCCTATCTTAGGAGAAAGGCTCTTTTACCCTATAGCTCTGTGAGTGACTGGAACATTTTCTAAAATTTTATTTCTACGTTCAGGATTTTTCACTGCGGGAAGCAGGAAGGATAACTTCCACTGGAGTTAGAACAAAAAGCAAATCTCTAACACAAAGGGGAGGAGGATGACTGCAGGCAAGGAAGCTCGGCCTCTGTCGCACGGGATCACAGACAGCTGGACCCTAGGTTCTTGCAGACATGAATGTCGTGGGAAGGGATCAACTAGAGCCCAGAGCACTGCTTCTACAAGCCACCAGCACGGATTCTGAAGTAACTGGAATATACAAAAAGAGTCTTTCATAGTAACTGTTGTAAAAGGATTTAGTTGCCTGGAAATTTCTCATAAAAAGCCATTTTATTCCTTTTACCTGTTAGATCGTGCATTACAAGTATTTTGCTTATTGTGAGTTTTACATCTTTTCTTGAACTAGAGAAAAAATGTAATTTTGAAAGCATAGTCTGGACGTACAGGATGAGCTGAGGCACCTAATGAACCTGACAGCCACAGCGAGGCTTGCCTTACAAAAGGCCCGCTCTCAGTCCTTCCATTTTCACACTTCTGTTAAATGCTTCTGTGTATTTTTCACCTAATAGGCAACGCCAGGGCATGGCCGAGAGCATGTTCACCCGATGCTCAGGCACTCAGAAGTGCTGGCTGAATAAATCAGCCAGTAAATTCCTCATCTGCTTCTGTCAGTGACTGCACAGACAGCAGCCCGCGCAAGCCCGGGGTGCCTGCCATGCACGCCGTCCGCCTGCTGCCGTGGAGGCAGACCGGAGAATTGACTCAAGACTGCCTGGTATTCAAGCGACTCTGCAGGCCGGTAACACTGAGACGGGATTTCTTCTATGTTGCCGTAAGTTACACTTTAAAAACACTCATGATTTTTTTTCCCTTCCACAGCTTTTAGGGTAAGATATGATTACTGAATCTTGCTCTAGCCAAGTCCTGCTTTTAGAGAGTTATCCTAAAATTATGTTTAGGAATCATTTTTTTTAAATGCGTATTTGTGTGGATTGATATTTTTAAACTAAAACTAATGAACCCCTTAAAAAACTGGGCTAGAAACCTGTCCCACGGCCACAGAATCGTTCCCAAGGAGCCCCTAAGCACCAAGGGAGAGAAGCCGAGACTGGATCCCTGGTTGGGAGGCCCAGCCTTGTTGCAATACTCTGTCACAGCGTGCTCCAGGGCACACGTGTGGCATGTAGGAATATCACGAGGTACTCATGAAACAAAGGTGGGGGTGGGGATCTGAGGTCAAATTTAGGGCATCTCTCCCAACAGAAGTTTAAATATCCATGGGCATATTGAAAGTTACGAGAAATCACTCAATGTGACATCTCTTTAGTCTGCTTTACCCAGGTTTCTGAAACTTAATTACCCTAAGAACCTTGTGCTGCATGTCCCCTGGGGGGACACTGCCTGACCATTTCATGATAAATGTTAATGATCAGGACAGCGGGGCCCAGTCAGCGACACCAGGGAAGCACCGGCCACGTTCCTGGGGTTCTATTCCACTTGCACTTTCTCCTGCAAACGCTCCAGCAAGTGAACAGCGCAGGGCTCCATCTTTGGGCTGCACTCGGTGCTGCCTTGTGAACCAAAGTTTTAGACATTTTTGCAGGAAAAATGCCCCTGTCTCCCCTAAGCTTTCCAGCACACTGCTATAGGGGATGGACAGGGAAACAGCCCAAGGGACAGAAACCACAGTGCAGGCAGAACTGCTTCTCTCCTCTCTCACCTGAGGCACAGTTACTCAGTGTTCCTACCTGCGTGAGAAGGACAAGTTTCTTTTCCATAAACCCCTGGGGTTCCTCATACTAACAGGCCCCAGGTGGGCAGCACCCCAGGTCCTCGGACACTTCTGCTTCCTGAGCTTCGCCTGGCTTGGGCTTCAGCTGGGCCCCTCACCACACAGAACCCGTCAGAACTGGGCCTGGTGGGGGGAGGTAGGGAGTGCGGGGGTGGGGAGGATTCTTTCTGAACTTCTTTTATGAAGGAGACCATGGGGAAAGCTCATGCAGGCTCCAGAAATAGGGGTGCTTTCCCTGAGCAACTCATGTACTCTTGTCTGCAGATACCCGAAATTCTGCAGCTGCCCACACTTCCCTTCCAGCATCTAGTACATTTCCAGACTGCTGTTTGCTCCCAGCAAATCACAGGGGCCTGCAACACGGTACTCCTTTGTGTACTTATTTCATCCCTGGCTTCCCCATATTTTACTTGCCCTGACATTTCACTCCCCTTGACTTCCTTACATTCCAGAAAAGATTTTAATGTATATAGTTGAGACACCACAAGTCCTTTCCTGCAATATGTAGCAACTATAATCATACACAGAATAATAAAAGAGATTTAACTTCTTACCTTGACTGTAAGATCAGATCATTCTTGTAATTTATAAGTTTTAGAAAAAAGAAGTTTGATTATCCAGAATATTAAAATTCCTTCCAAAATAAGATGATAAGCAGGAGCCTGGGAGTGAATCAAAAACAAGAGCAAAACAAAAACAAGAAATGAAATAAACATTTCCAAAACCCGCACATAAAATTTAACGCACCTGCGTATACTGCTGCCTTTAACCTATGTATTACTTCTTAAAATTAACTTTCAAAGTTCACTTTATTTCTACTCATTCCTTTTCCCATTTCTAACAGAAATCAATTTCTCCTAATGTGAAAAATCTCTAAAGCTACAGCTTTAGGAATAAAAATAAATTTTTAAAAAGAATCTGACACAGAATTCCAAAGTGAAACAGTATCAACTATCAGATCTTTCAGGTAATTTATATTTTTACTGGTAGGAAATGACTGTAACAAACATTCCACAGTGTCACAAGGCTTCCACCACCCCCATGTACCATAATAAGTTGAGAATTACCTGGAAACCTGTTTCCACAATTCTTAAAGAGTTTTGCACATCTTACTGTATCTTCTGGATCCCTGACGAGCCTCTTTAAATCCTCCTCAGAACACAGTAGAGAAAAAAGGCTTTGTAAATGCTTAATGAAAAAGCAGGCCTCTTTTCTACTGTAGCTCCCCAAAAGTATGCAGTGTTTTTTCCATGTCAACAGGCATAAAGGTACATTAATGAAACTATCCATGTCAGGTCTTCTTTTCAACTGTACGTTTCCAGGATAAAGGCCAGGCTGCCTTTTATGTTTTATACCACTAGACACAATAAGTGCATGTGGAAGATTCCAGGTATCAACTAACCCCCCATCAGTCAGTTACGGGGTGCTATATTCCAATAGGTTGTCATTGGAAAGTCACTTAAAAGAGGTATTTAGAAATGTAATTACAAATTATTTTCAAGCATTAGATAGAAAGAAAGTGATGATGATTCACCATAGTTAAAAAAAAAACACTCGAGTAGGAACATGGAAACTGCTGACAAATTCACATATAAACTTTCAGGTCAATGCACAAATACATTTCAAGCTACATTCAAGTTACAGATGTATGGGTACACAACAAGACTATTCAAATTCTACATACAAGATGCATGGGAATTAGAAGCAAGAACAGAAGGCTAAGATTATTTTTTTAAATTGCTGATCCTTCCCGAATATAATTCAAGAATAAGGACTCTAAAAACCCTTCTGGTTTTCTCAATAATTGTATTCTAGTGGGCAAAGGTCCAAGTCACTAGTTAAACATTCCACTCCACAGAAAAATCATCCTTAGGAGCCCAGCTCCTGACTCCTAGTGTCTGATGGGTGTTCTCTGCCTCTGTCCCCAGTTCTGGCATAAAGCATGCTTCCATTGCGAAACCTGCAAGATGACACTCAACATGAAGAACTACCAGGGCTATGAGAAGAAGCCCTACTGCAACGCACACTACCCCAAGCAGTCTTTCACCATGGTGGCTGACACCCCGGAAAACCTCCGCCTCAAGCAACAGAGTGAGCTCCAGAGTCAGGTGCGCTACAAGGAAGAGTTTGAGAAGAACAAGGGCAAAGGCTTCAGCGTGGTGGCAGACACACCCGAACTCCAGAGAATCAAGAAGACCCAGGACCAGATCAGTAATATAAAATACCATGAGGAGTTCGAGAAGAGCCGCATGGGTCCCAGCGGGGGTGAGGGCATGGAGCCCGAGCGCCGAGATCCCCAGGACAGCGGCAGCCTCACCACATCCCGACCAGCACCCCAGTTTACCAGTAGCCCCAGCAGCAGCAGGCAGCCCAGTCCTTCGGCGGCTACCAGGAGCCTGCAGCCCCGGTCTCCGTACAGCGCAGCGCCCCGGGCGGGGGCGGGAAGCGGTACCGTGCTGTGTCTGACTACAGTGCCGCCGACGAGGATGAGGTCTCCTTCCAGGATGGGGACACCATGGTCAACGTGCAGCAGATCGATGACGGCTGGATGTACGGGACCGTGGAGCGCACCGGCGACACGGGGATGCTGCCCGCCAACTATGTGGAGGCCATCTGAGCCCGCTGGGCACCGCCCTGCCCCATCCATCTTCAGCGCATTCCACTGCATGGCATCCATCCTGGGCGTGACCTGTCCACCGTTCAGTGTCTCTGTTTTTTAAAATCTGCGACAGCTTGTTTATTCTCCCCCTCTTCCAGCTTCTTTTGCCAACTGAAGCCTTGTTCTGCCACTTTCATGGCTCCTTCCTCCGGCAGGTTTTCCCATTGACCAACTTTGTGATTTTTCTCTCTGGATGGATCAGGTGTGGACCGCTCTTGGGAGGGGAGGGGGCGAGGTCCATGGGGCTGGTCTGGGTGGGAGACCAGTCGGCTCTAAGTCCTCTGCCTTCTCTCTTTTCTGCCCCCTCAGTCCCTCCTGTCCACCCACCCAGACATTCCAGGGCCCCAGGATTCCCAGGGGAGGGGCTCCACACATTCCCAGAAGTGGACCCCACCGCCCTTGCTCCTGGAACGGGGATGGGGGTGTGGAGAAGGTGCTGCCATTGTGCAGGGCTGCTGGCCCTCCAAGGTGTCCCCTCACCACCCTCTCCCCCTCTCAAGGGCAACAGAAGAGGGTAAAGTTCCTGCTTGGGGATTCATTCACCCCCTCCCCCACCGTTCCTTGTCACACTGTGATTTTGCTCTCCCGCCCACGCGGGCCTGGTGTGGGCCAGGCGCTCCCCAGGAAGCACAGCTTGGGTCCGGTTCTCGCCTTTCTTCAGGGACAGCTGAGGGGAGGAGGAGAACTAGGTGTTCTCTCTGCAGCCCTTTTCCCTCACTCCCACCCCAGTCTCCAGGGTCCCTGGCTTGCCTCCTCGGCTGGAAGTCATGGTTCTGAAAGGTAGAATGAGGAACGCTTGGTGCTCCCTTCGCAGCACATACACTTAAAAAAAGAGGAAGGCTTGGGCCTCCCAGCCTGCACAGCCCAGCCCCCGAGATCTGGTTACCCACCTCTCCTCCTGGGAAGATGTCTCTGGCCTTCCATGGCCCCCCAGTCCCCCAACTCCAGCCCGACACCAGGTGGACTGGACTGTGCGAAGCCATGGCCCCTCTGTATCTGCAGGACCTCATGGGGGCGGGGGAGGAGTGCATGTCTGCAGGTGTCTGTGACAGGCTGGAGTGAGTGTGAGCATGAGAGAAGCAGGTGGGGTGCAGCCCATGTGAGGGTGCACGGAACTGCCTTCCCTGTTTTCCTCAAAACCCACAATGAGAGGGGAGGCCCTGGGGGAGAGAATTCCTTATGTTTTCTTGGGAGTGAAAAATCCCTCCTTTTCCTTGTGGCCCCAAATGGGGAAGCCCACCATCCCCCTTTCCAATGGGCAGGGCAGAAG